CCTCTCTGGTGACATATTTCAAACCTTCTTTCCTCCCGAATGTTTACTGAAGATTACTAAAAACATTCTATCCTGGGTCTTTTCTTCTCTTGTTTTGTTCCTTCTATACTTTGCCTACATTCCTATCATCTTTTGCAGTTTATTATATTAAAAGATTTTCCGTGCTTTATTATTGCTTTGAAGTAGCTCCTGTGTATTCATTGTCATTATATTTCAAGTGTTGTTGCTCCATGCTTGGCTTAGAGTAGACAACTAGGAATGCTTACCAGACTAAAAACAATTTATGAGCTAAGTGCCGAAGATTTAGCAATATAACTAAGAAAATTCCTGGGTGTAAGAGGAGAAATAAGCTTATTTCAAAACATGAATCCATGGTGATTTTTATTCACTTATTAAAGGATAAGCAGCTAGGATTTATACTGGTATTTAATTCATGTTTAGTCTTTGAAGGAATTAGTTTGGCTTCTACAATAATTTAAAAAACCAAATGCTGTTTTTAAGGCAATTACAGAGGATAAGAAAAATATCTCCACATCCATTCATCACGTGTCGCCCTTTAGCAAGTTTTACACAGCACCACCTGGCTGTCATGGAAACCATGATGGATTACACCTTTTGATATCAATATTGAGCCTCATTCATTACTTTCTGAGGTTCCATGCTTTATATCAAAAAGACAAATGCCAAGAAAAATTCAAACTTTTCAAACAAACAACAACAAAATCTACAGGACAAATTTGATGACCTATTTTCAAGGACTCGCAGCTCATGTAATATAAATGAGCGTGGTTTAATTAAAAATACAATTGAAAATCAACAAAACACTCTAACTAGCTTTATAATATGTACAAATGAAAACAGAATTAGACACATAATCACACTTGTGATTTATAACAAAGATCTCAAGGACAAATAATCACTTGGAAAGAAAAGTAAAATATTGGTGATACTAAATATCAAATTTTAATCCAGTACTAATCAAGTTTCATAACTTTATAAAAAGTATTCTTACATTTCATACGATTTCATCATAATTGGTAGATAAGAAGCTATACCTAGTCGAGGTCTTGTTCAGGGGTGTGTGTGTGTGAGAGAGAGAGACAGACAGACAGACAGAGACAGAGACAGAGAGTCAGAGACAGAGGGATCAGAGACTGAACTCATGCCCTCATACCTGCTAGGAAGGCATTCTATTAATTTGAGTCACACTTCTTGTCTCTTTTTCCATGTTATTTAGATGTAAAGTTTTTCTTTATACCTTTACTAGTTTGAGCTACAAATTCTCCATATCACTGGAGATCATAAGCACATACTATCATGGTCACTGGTTGAGATTGAGTCTCATGAACATATTTTGCCCAAGCTTATATGAAAACATAATTCTTTGATCAATTTTGCCCCTCAAGTAGCTGGGAGGAAGCTGTGAGTGACTGCTGGATTTTCAACTTCAAAGTCGTTTCATTTCTAAAATAATCTTACTACTATGAAAATAGGAGTGTAATAATACATAATATGTGGTTGTAATATTGCTATTATCCTTAGTGGAGCAAAATATTCTGAAAGCTTCTTAAGTCTATAATTCATTTGTATACATGTGGTGTATTTTCAAAATTTAATTAGTTTTGTTTGCACAGCTACTTTATATATGTGTATAAATACATGTCTTGCATAAAATAAAATACAAATTCAGAAAATTCACATTAAAATGTACTTAGAATATCTAAGCTCTAGAATGTAGTTCTAATATTGTTACTAACAATATATAATTGCATAAATATTTTATTTGTAGAGAAAATTTACCCATTATGTATTTGAAATGATAGATTGATTGCTAGTGAGAATGGTTATTATGCAAGAGTTCATTTTGACATAAAACTAAAATAAATCTTTTACTGCAAATTATGATATTTGGCTAACAAGCCAGAACCTAAATTCATGCACTCTACTTCATAATTCATAATCATCTACACTATTCAACACTATTATTTGTTTTTATTTATTTATTTATGCTGGTGATAGAGCTTGAACCAGGGCTTGTATTCTCATTGTCTTTTCTCTCATGGTTTATGCTCTACCTCCAATCTGGACTCATCTATGTTTACTAGATGGTTTTGTTTTGTTGCTGATAAAAATAATAGCATTAAGATCAAGTCAAAATGCTTTTTGTAGATATTATCAGTTCTACTAGTATGAATACAATTAAACTGCGAAGCAGAAGAACCTTGGCCTATTTCTGCAACATGAGTTCAAGGAAATTTGATGAGTTATTATTGCTGAGTGCACATTTCTCATAGAACTATTGCTTTTGCATTTAAGTCTTCAATTTCTCACACGCAGAATTTTCCCCAACATCTGTTTAATGAGTTAATAAAATATCTGTTAACATATTGAAACAGAGGTGTAACAGATGTTAACAGATGTGTATTCTTTCTAATGATACCCTGTCTTCTGTTTGTTTTCCACCAAGTATTGACCTGTTTTGACCTGTTGTATGAGTCCAGGCTACGTTCTATGCTCCTTGACTAATTAGTGCTTTACAGCATGCTCTCAGGAAATTATTTCATACATGTGGTCAAGAACTTGGGTACTGAGAATCAGTGTGGGTTTGTGTACCTACAATAACATTTTCCTATTTAGAGATTTCATGTTCTATACACCATAATCTTATTACATATCTAATGTACTCATGATCTTAAATTTCCTCCCCTACAAAAATCCCCTCCCCTTTTTTTTTAAAAAAACCAGTAACATAGTTTTATTATCGTCATTATTAGGCACAGTTGTCTGAGCCTAATTAATTTAATTTATTGTAAAATTAACTTAATTTTATTGTCAAGGTGCTGTACAGAGGGGTTACAGTTCTATATGTAAGGTAATGAGATTTTTTTTAGTGAAAGAAAAACAGGAAAAATGAAGAAAAGATTATGACTCTATTATCTAATAATTTTCTAGTTCATTGATTTAAAATAATATCCAAAAGCTGGGCACTAGCAGCTCATATCTGTAGTCCTAGCTCCCAGGAGGCTGAGATCTGAGGATCATAGTTTGTAGCCAGCTGAAACAAGAAAATTCATGAAACTTTTATTTGAAATAACCTCCAAAATAGCTGGAAGTGAAGCTATAGTTCAAGTGGTAGAGTGCGAATCTTGCAAAGAAAAGCTATAAGGGACAGGTCCTAGCCCCTGAATTCAAGTCCCATTCAGGCCACCTCAATTAAATGAATACCAATTTTACATACCCAGAATACTTGATTGAATCTATATAGATTCAAGTGTATGTATATGTTCATCCAAATATGTAATATAGCTATTCATTAGATATATTTATACATTTTGTTAGATACGTGTTTATATGCATATATATAATCTCTAAGCATTAGGAATGAGGATAATATTTTAAATACTAAGGAAGTATTTAGTGTCCACTTCTATCTTATTAAATAAAGAATAATAGACAAAGGATAGATATACTAAAAACTAAATCAATGATCTGGGATGGACTGCAAAGAAAAATTAAAGAATCATAGTTAAGACCAAGGTATTTTGAGATTAAAAGAATTTTAAATTAAAAATAATTCTATTTTTTAAAATTCTAATGCAATTTATTTTAAGGATACAGTAACAATATAAATTCACAAAGTTCTTAAATGTCAGAGATGAATAAAGTTTCTAAAACATGTATCATGAACTCATTCTGTTGCTTCTCAGTGAGCTTCTTACCATACTTCCTTTTATATTAAACGAGAAAAAGAAGCTGTAAAACTTGATTGAGATGTGAGGATGATTAAATCTTTCAAATATTCATAGGTAAATATAGATTATTTTAAAGAAACTAAAATGCCGATAGTCTAAATTCTATTCTCAAAAGACAGGTTTTGACAGGTTTTGTATCAATAACTGGTAAATATAAACATTCATATATATCATATAATGTCAAGAATGTTAAATTTATTTACTTCATGGTGTAAAACATATTTTTCCACATTATAAACTTATGACTAAGGAGATACTGTAACAATATAAGTATTCCACCTTAGAATAAAAATGTCCTATAATAGGTCCAACCTTGTTCATTATTACAAAACAGCTAGTTTTTTTTTTGCCAGTCCTGGGGCTTGAACTCTGGGCCTAAAGCTGCCCCTGGCCTACTTTTGCCCAAGGCAAACACTTTACCACTTGAGCCACAGCACCACCTCCAGTTTTTTGAGTAGTTTATTGGAGATAAGAGTCTCATAGAGTTTTCCGCCAGGGCTGGCTTTGAACAAATATCCTCAGATCTTAGTCCCTGAGTAGCTGGATTATAGGAATGAGCCACTGGTCCTCAAGATAACCTCTTCTTTTTTTTTCTTTTTTTTTGGGGGGGGGGGGTGTCCGGTTGTGGGGTCTGAACTCTTGCCCTGGGCGCTGTCCCTCAGCTCTTCAGCTCATGGCTAGCACTCTACCACTTGAACCACAGCACCACTTCCGGCTTTTTTTTCTTCTGCTTATGTGGTGCTGAGGAATCGAACCCAGGGCCTTATGCATGCAAGACAAGCGCTCTACCACTGAGCCACCTTCCCAGCCCAACCCTCTTCTTTCTTTATCACAACTAAAAAATATTATAAATGAACAAATATCTCAATTATTTGGAAAAAGTAATGCAAAGATCCATTTGGCATGATGATTAAAGCAGAAAATTGTATCTACAAATATAATGCAAACATACTTTCAGGCTAAAAGGAAATCATTATTATTTTACTGTGGATAGATGCTTAAGATAATACACCAGGGTGATGATATCTATGAGCTTGAATAGAGGTTTTTCTAAACGTTTGTTTATCATCTTTACTTCTTAGGAAAACAATATGATGCCGCAAAATCCTTTCTAATATATTTCACAAATTCAAAATTCAAGATTCTTCTTGGGTGGTTATTTTACTTCCTTCATTTACCAAAACCAAACAAAGTAAAACTAAACCACAACTTTCTCAATACTATTCAAAATTACATCCTTCTACTTACCTTGGCAATTGTTGTATGAAAGTTGAAAAAAGGATCTGTTTCTTCAATTTTTGTTGCAGGCTTAGGAAAAATGGCCTCAGAGAGAAAACTTGGACCCTGTGGCAAATCAAAAAGGAAACAATCAGACTCCTTATCGATTTTACTCTTCAAGTGTTATTGGATTTTCTTTAAAGATTCAAAGAACTCTAAATTGCTTTAAGGTTTTTGTTGATTGTTGAATTTCATTCTACTGATCTAATTACCTATCACAAAATATTTGTGAATTAAAATGGGGAATATTCTATAGCTTTTGACATAAGATATATTTACAAAATTATGTTTTCTTAAAAGTCGTATTTTTTCCATTTCCCCTCTTGTTCCTTTCAGTAGAGACTTGTATATGAATATCTTGACTACAATATCAATCTCTTCTCCATTTTATATTTTCCATATCTTAAGTCTGGTAGAATATTTTTTGGATAAATATGATTATCTAGAAAAACCTCAATAAAGTGTACATGACATTTTTAATATCATCATACTAACTTCAGATCTGTAAGATATATATGGGGATAGAAATCCTACATGTTCTCATGGGTTGCCAATCGAGACATAATACATAGTATCAGAACCTTAGCATTAGATAGTTGAAATAAATCAGAGATAATCTAATCCATTTCTGACAGATGTAGTCAAGTTTCAAGATGTAAAAAGCATGAATACTAACAAGATTATAATATAAATCAATAATTTTGGAGTTTTCAACATTATCAGCATCCTATAAAGGATATTGTTTATATTATAAATATAGCATTCACTTGAAAACCTCTAGGTTGTATGTACAGAAAACCATTATCTAGGGACAGGATACAAGTGGGTAGAAAGATGATAGATTTATAAATACATGGGTGGATAATATCTCTGAAGACTATTGTGAGAAAGGAAATGTTGAAGTACTCTGCATCAAAAAGGACTTCAAATGAATAATTTAAATTGTATTTTATTGGATATTAGAGACACTCAGTAGCAGAACAGATAACTTTGGAGTATATGAGTCAGTGTTGAAGAGAAAAATTCTGGAATTTTAGATTTGGAAGTAATTGATGAGGATTGAAACCAGCATAGCTTTATTACCATATATTAAACAATTCTGGACAATTTATACTCCCTTCTCTCTACTAATACTGAGATAAATCCAAAGTAACATCTGTGACTAGTGCAGCACAGTCTCATTTTAAATAATAGGACCATGAGTCAGCAAATGACAATAGTACCTACTGCTACTAGATGTTCATCAAAATATAGTTCTTGTTCTTCTTCCCACTTCTCCTCTCAATTGATAACACATTTGTGAGAAAGTCTGCCCAGTGTTAATGACAACTTTGTGGACTTGCCATGAAATATATATGGTCCAGACTTAACATCTCAAAGTATTCCAAATTAACTAACTGAAATTGTTCATATAAGAAAGCAAAACATTTTGATTGGAGGGATTATGAATGAGGAAGATCCACTCTGCAGCTCTTAACTCCCTAAATGGCAGTCAATGCACCTACTTAGAATTAACGGGATAATGGTGGTGCATCCACAACCCAGGGCTGGACCCCAGTGCTTCCATTCTACATGTATCACCTAATTTAATCACATGGACATTTAATCACAGAGTACCTTCTCTTTACAAATGCGAACCAGTGAGCTGTTGTTTTGTACATTTGTTTGTGCCAGTACTGGTGACTGAATTCAGGATCTGGGCACTATCCCTTAGTTTTTTCTCTGAAAGATGGCACATTATTACTTGAGCTGCAGCTCTACTTCTGAACTTCTGCTGGTAGTTGGAGATAATGTTCACATTTCCTGCCCAGGCTAGATTTGAACCTCAGTTCTCTGTTCTCAGCCTCCGGAGTAGCTAGAACTAAAGACACGACTCACCAGCACCAGTCTAAAACCAATAAGTTTTAAGTGCAGTTTCAAGACCACACCATTATTGGCTGTAAAAGGCAGGTTTATGTAACCACATAACTCACAGTTTTCTTTCTATTCCATGCTTGCTACACATGGCTAACGTTTCTTGAGCCCCAGCAAGAATCAGCATATATAAGTTAGTAAGGATGACTTCTTTAGCTTTTGTCCCAGTTTCCTCCAAGCCTTAGTCTACTTTCCTTAGCAGCACAAGCACTAAATACAGTTTAAAGGATAAAATCAAAGACCCCCTGCTTAGACTCACTAAAACTGAAACTAGGTAGTCTCATGTGGGCTTCAATCATTGCAAAATTCTCCTCTCTGCAAGCAGAAAATCCACAGATCAGTAATTAAACTCAATCTATGAAATTCAAACACTTGCAACCTTTGAATGACACGGACATTCATACTTTGCTGGACTCAAGAAAAGGTAATTCTGGCTATGATCTTTGCAACATAATATTCACATCACAATTCAGTAGGGAAAAATCCTTAGATAAGGTGGACTTTAAAGAAGTCCATGCGCCCAATGTAAAACACAATTAGAACACTGTTTTCTGAATGTACTCGTTTTATATCTTAATTAAATTTTTTTCAGATTTTAGGAAATTCCCTAGGATTAGCTTTATTGAAAATATTCAAAGTACCTATTTAAAGTCTCCTATTTATTTAGTTGCCAAATCTTAGGCATAGGGAATGCATTTAGATTTTTAATTCAACTCAAATACACAAAGTAAAGCATGGATTACTTAAGTAACTAAATGCTTTTACAAATATGCACAGTTTCTAGAAATTCAACACTAGAAATCAGCTATGCATCCAGACACAGTTCGCTCACATCTGTCATTCTGGCTACTCAGAAAGTTGAGAGCTGAGGATCAAGGTTCAAAGGCAGACCAGGCAGAAAAATCTGAGACTGATATCCACAACTAACCTGCAAAATATTGGCTGTGGAGCTGTGGCTCAAGTTGGGCCTGAGTTGAAAAGGCTAAGGCCAGATTTCAGATCCCATGTTCAAGCCCCAGTACTGACACAGAAAGAAATAAGCTAAGCTTGTGTGTATTTGCACACATTTTCAGGTTCCTGTACTGTGGACAGTTCAACCTTGTCTACCTGGCTCTAGTTCCTCACTTGAGAATGAGAAGAATGGTCTGAGATCTTAGTATGGTTATAACCTTACCTTTGATCCATCTACCTCATGATTATATTACTAATCATATAAACTTTGAGAGATTTTTATCAGTACTAATTTTACTTCTTTTAAATTTTATTTGTGTGTGCACGTGTGTGTGTGTGTGTGTGTGTGTGTGTGTGTGTCGGTCATAGTGCCTGAACTCTGGGCCTGGGCGCTGTCCCTCAGCTCTTCAGCTCAAGTCTAGTGTTCCATTACTTGAGCCACAGCGCCACTTCCAGCTTTTTCTGCAAATGTGGTACTGGGGAATCAAACCCAGGGCCTCATGCATGCAAGGCAAGCTCTCTACTACTGAGCCACCTTCCCAGTCCATTTTATTTTACTTTTTTTGTGCAGGTCCTGGAGTTCGAACTCAGGGCCAGGGCACTGTCCCTGAACTTTTTGTGCCTAAGGCTAGCACTTTAATACATGAGCCACAGCTCCACTTGCTGCTTGTTTTGGAGTAGATGGGTGAGGGGTAATTAATTGAAGGTAAGTCTCATAGATTTTAGTACCCCAGCTTTCTTGAAACCACTATCTTCATATCTCCTGCCCCTGAATATCTAGGATTACAAGTGTGAGCCACCAGCAGGTCAGGAGCAAACAACAGCACAGGCTCAGGAGAGTACAGGGACTACATTTCTTAGAGATGACACTGTTATCCCAACTAATCAGGAAGCAGGTAAAGTTATGGAGACTGTTTCACAAACAGGCCCAGTACAGTGCTACAAACCTGTGTGCCTCGATTCTCAGGAAGTGAAGTAAGAGGATTGTGTTTGAGACCAGCCTAGACAAAAATGAGCTGAAAGCAAAATGTCTGACTTGGTGGTTCAAGCGGCAGCATGCACAATGTGCCAGCACAAAAAAGCAATATTAATCATAATAAGATCACTAATTAACATATATAAATGCAACAAGTAAGCATGGAATATATACACTAATGTTAAATGCAAATATTTCTATATTGATTTGAATATTTTAGATATTTATTTCATATACCTTATTAAAATATACTCTTTGGTACCTATATGTGCAATGTATTATACTATTCTATAATATTACAAATATTCATAAATAATTGATGCATATTACTAATAATGATTGAATATATAACAGTATTTATAGACTATGTGGTATATGACAAATTAAATTGTCTGCCTAAATTTTCTCATTTATTTGTAGAATGAGTATAGGTTTTTCTTTCCATAAAGTCATCACAAGATTTATTAGTTAATGCATACAACATTCTTTTTTAATTATCTCTAAGTAGTTGTACAAATGGGTTTCAGTTCAACGTGTCAGTTTGTCAGGACTATGCACATTGATCAACATCACTCTTTTCATCATTCTCTCCTCCCAGTCTATCTCAACCCAACCCATGCCCTTCAAATCTTTAATTCAATTTTTAGAAATATCTATCCATACAACTCTGTCAAAGAGTTATTATTTTTCTAATGCTGTCAAAGAGTTATTATTTTTTTCTCTTTTCTTTTTTTTCTTTTCTTTTTTTGTTGGTCATGGGGCCTGAACTCTGGGCCTGGGCGCTGTCCCTCAGCTCTTCAGCTGTAGACTAGTGCTCTACCAATTGAGCCTCAGCCCCACTTCCAGCTTTTTCTGCTTATGTGGTGCTGAGGAATCGAACCAAGTGCCTCATGCATGCAAGGCAAGCACTCTACCACTGAGCCACCTTCTGAGCCCCCAAGGAGTTATTATTTTTCTAAGTTCATAGATGAAAGAAACAAGCTGATGAGGGAGAAGAAATTTGCCTAAAGAAACACATTTACCCATTGGTAATCTGAGCACAGAGCTCATTAACTGATCTTGAGCCCATTGATTATCAAATACCAGTTGATGAAGTACTACCATACGTGGGCCTATAACAGCCTAAAAATACAAGGACAATGCAGATTCCTTTATAAAACTAAATATAACCTAAGCAAAGGGTTATCCAATACCCTGACATTAGAGTATTGTTTTTCTCTTATAA